CGCCAAAGGTGCTTTTAAAGCTTCTACTACTGATGTAACCAACTCAGTAGACGGCGCAGTAGATGTAGGGACGCCATTACAAGCCGACTCAACCGAAACTGGAGGAGCCAGCGAAGAAGAACAAGAGGTAGGAACCATGCTGTCCAAGCTATTGCGTGTGTTACGGGGCATCTTTTATCGACCAAACAATTAACACGAGGGCAAGGAACAATGGAAAGACGATCGTAAATAGACGTCGAAACGCTGGAAGAACCACTAACAATAAGGATTGAGAAAGGATGGCTTGAAAAAATGCGTATAAACCAGAAGCAAAACCGCGATATGAAGGCAATGGCTAACAGCAACTCAGCTACAGCAACCACGAGGCCTTAGGCAGCAACTGCGCATGCGCAAGTCTCACACCGCTGGCCAGCACTCCACTCCCAGTTAACTTTGCTTAAATTTAACCACATTAAACAAAGTTAATTTATTTCTTTTATTTTTATTTATTCACCTTTCCTGGGTGGATGGCGCAATGCCCAACGGGTTTTGCAACCCAATTGAAAAGGGAGCCGATAGATCTAATTAGAATTTAGAAGAAAATCCATCCTAAACCTGGATTCCAAACTTTAAAGGATGCAGTGGCTCCATCTTCCCCACCCCTCCCCCAAAAACCACCAATTCAGTTTGAGATATATGGAGTTTGAGATAGGTAGAGTAAGAGGAATAGAACCATAGCTTTTGTTTCATGCTTCTTTGAAGTAACTTGGTTTTCATTGTCCAGTATTGTTAAATCCTGGTTTGAATAATATAGTGTTTAATTTTGAAAATTTCATCATGTGTTGACAGATGAGTGATGATTATGAGAAGAAGAAAAAAGCTCTGGAATCCAAGTATGAAGAACAGCTGGTAAGTAGCATTAGATCTATTATAATAACAAATTGCTAATTACTATCACAACTGTGTACCCAAGTCTGGAGTGGGTGGGGTCTGGTGGGGGTTTGGGGGGTGGGGGCTGTTGGGAATCTGTATTTTAGCCCATCAAAAAAAAATATATATAACATATTTTTATTGCTGTTACTGAAATATAAATTTATTCAATAAGTTTATATTGTATGATTAACTAGGAATCCCTTAGAGCTGAGTGGGAGAAGAAAATATACAGAGTAAAACAAGACTGGAAGGAACAGGTTAGAGAATTAAGAATCTATCAGTGTTGTATGATGATGACTATGGTAGTGTTGATGATGTTGGTGATACTGTTGAAGATGACGTTAAGGTGGGGCTTGTGGTGATCAATGAAGATGATGATGATGAGGACAGTGGCAATAATAGTATTTAAAATTAGGGTGGTGGTAATGATGATGATGACTATGGTAGTGTTGATGATGCTGGTGATGGTGTTGAAG